TTATCTGAAGCTCTTGCAGATGAAATTCAGCCTTTATCATGCCCAGCCCAGCTCAGCCCAGCCTAGCTCAGCCCAGCCCAGCTCAGCCCAGCCCAGCCCAGCCTAGCTCAGCCCAGCCCAGCCCAGCCCTTTTAATTTTTGGACTCTGTTTTCTGCTCTTAGGACTCTTGCACTTTGCCTGCTTAACCTCACAGACCTGGACCTCCTGGCTATCAACTCTTGCCTGCTTTCTGACTCCTCTCTGCCTGCCATACCTTGGTGCCTTCCTTATATTTGACTGTCCATGTACCCACCTGGACCATTCCTACGACCATGCCTCCTGGGATACACCAAAAGCCCGGAAGAGCTGGAGGCTCTTGCCAGCTGTATTGACCTAAGGCTCCATGGAAGGAGGAGTGAATGGTCCAAGGCATTTTCACTACCGAACAGCGACGGTGGGTACAGACCAGTAACGTCTCCATATCCTGCCACCCCAACCTCCTCACCGGTCTTCGAGGGACCTGAACCAAAGCAGATCGCCAGGGGCAAGTTGTCAGAGCAGGAACATGGGAGGAGGCTATTTAAGGCAATTAAAGCCAGTCTTATTCACCTCTCTTCCCCACCTGCAGGTGCAGGATTATTTTTTTGTGGGGAAAAAGGATGGCACTCTATGCCCCTGTATTGATTACAGAGGGCTTAATGACATCACCATAAAGAATCATTATCCTCTTCCCCTTATGAATACAGCATGTGAGTTGCTGCAAGAGGCCGAGGTGTTTACTCAGTTAGACTTACATAATGCTCATCACTTAGTCAGGATCAGCGAGGGTATGAGTGGAAAACTGCCTTCACACACCCACAGGCCAGTACAAGTATCTGGTTATGCCTCTTGGTCTTACCAATGCTCCTGCTGTCAGACATGGTTGAGCAGTATGTGTTTGTTTACCTTGATATCCTTGTTTTCTCCAAGGATTTAGCCTGTCACAGGAGACATATACATTCTGTCATCCTTTGGCTTCTGCACAACAACCTTTTCATCAAGGCAGAGAAGAGTGAATTTCACAAGATTACAGTCTCCTTTCTTGGATTCATCATAGCCCCCAACCAGGTTTCCATGGACCCTACCAAGGTGTTTGCAGTCCAAGATTGGCCCACAACCAAGAATCATAAATAGTTGCAGAGGTTTTTGGGTGTAGCCAACTTTTACTATCACTTCATAAAGAACTACAGTTCTGTTGCAGCACCCCTCCATGCTCTCACATCTTCCAAAGTAAACTTCATGTGGTCTATTCAAGCCAGCCTTTTATTCACCCACCTCAAGACACTGTTCTCATCTGCTCCAGCTCTCTGATCTGGCTCTGCAGTTCATTATTGGGTTTGATGCCTCCATCACTGGGTGCTGTGTTAAGTAAACGTAATTCCTCTGACAATATGGTCCATCCCTGTGCTTCTTTTTCCACGTGTCTGTCTTCATCTGAGCAGTACTATGACATGGGTGACCGAGAGTTGCTGGCAGTTGAACTGACACTGGTGGAGAGAGAAGAGCTCCCGTTCATTGTCTGTACAGATCATAAAAATCTTGAATACCTTAAAATGGCCAGAGGCTAAATGCCAGACAGGCCAGGTGGGCTCTCATCTTCAGTCGTTGTGCCTTCTCTCTCTCTCCTACTGACTAGGGTCTAAGAAAACAAAGCCTGATGCTCTATCCCGGATGCATGAGCAAGCTGGGCCAATCCAAACCTGTGGTGAAGTCCGAGGTGTAGAAGGTGAAGAGAAAAGGTGAGCACTGTGCACCGTACCCTTGAAAGGGCAACAAAAAACATTAGGGACAGTTGTCCCTGAGGACCAGGGCTGGGAAACACTGGTGTACAGGTGTACCTTGGACTGCCCAAAATAAAAGGCCACCCTGAAATGTGCAGTTTGATCAAACAGCACAGTGCCACAGATGTTGAAACCTGTGAGGGAGCGTGCAATCGGCATGCTGGCTGCGGGGATGTCTACCAGATCTGCTGCCCATGAAACAAATGTTCATTTCTCTACCATAAGTCATCTCCAAAGGCGTTTCAGAGAATTTGGCAGTACATCCAACCGGCTTCACAACCGCAGACCATGTGTGACCACACCAGCCCTAGACCTTCACATACAGCATGTTCACCTCCAAGATCACCTGAGACCAGCCAACCGGACAGCTGCCACAACAATCAGTTTGCATAACCAGAGAATTTCTGCAAAAACCGTCAGAAACTGTCTTAGGGAAGCTCGTCTGCATGCTCGTCGTCCTCACCGGGGTCTGGACCAGACTGCAGTCCGTCGTCGTAACCGACTTGAGTGGGCAAACACTCGCATTTGATGGCGTTTGGCGGATTGGAGAGGAGTTCTGTTCACAGACGAGTCCTGGTTTTCACCGTTTAGGGCAGGTGGCAGACTGCGTGTGTGGCATCCTGTGGGTGAGTGCTTTGCTGTTATCAACATTGTGGAAAGAATGGCCCATGGTGGTGGTGGGGTACTGATATAGGCAGCC